ATTCCCTAGCACTGAGCCCTGAGGGCAGTCGAAGCGGTCTCGGAGTGGGTTATTTCTGCCTCGTGTGTATGTATGTGTGAGTGGAAGAGCAAGGAGGGCCCTCGAGTAACGCTAAGGCCGGCCTCCACAGCGGCGTTGTTGCTGTTGCTGTTGCTGCAGTCACCCTTCAAGGCTCCTTGCCGCGCGGCGCGGAAGAACGAGGAGGAGGAGGAGGAGGAGGAGAAGGAGACGCAGAAGGAGCAGAGGGCGGCTCAAGGCGGGGCGGAGGTGGAGGTGGCGGTGTCCTCCCCTCGGAAGCCGCGGAGAGGCCCGAAACGGCCCCTGGGACACACGCCGCCGCGGGGGAGAAAGGAAGGGGGCCTGAACAGACTGCCAGAAATAATCCAGTTTGAGTCCAGTGCTAGGGAATCATGGGAACTGTAGTTTTTTCTGAGACATTGCGCCTTCTCTGTCAGAGAGCTCTGGTGCCACAGTAAACTACAGTTCCCATCATTCCCTAGCACTGAGCCAGGGCAGTGCCTCAATTTAATGTGCACTATTCCTGGCAGTCTGCGAAGGCTCTCCTCAGTCCCTCAGAGGCGTCCCTCCTTCACTCACACTCGGGGCAGCTGCAGCGGCGGCGCCCCCCGGCGCTGGAACACTCCGTCCACGAAGACGCCGTTCTTGCCCAGGCACCGCAGATAGAAGTCTCCGCCTGAGGGAGCCGCGGCGTTGGGGGCTTGGGCCTGGGCTCCGCTCCCGTCGCCAGCGGCGGCGTTGTTGTTGTTGTTGTTGGCAACGGCCGGGGCCTGGGCCTGGGCCTGGGCTTGGGCCTGGGCGGGAGAAGAAGGAGGCGGCGGCGGCGGCGGAGGAGGCGGCGGAGGCGGCGGGGCGGTGAAGATCTCGAGGTGCCGCCGGGAGATGAAGCTGGAGTGGCCCATGCTGACGTCCACCGAGCCCTGCGAGGAGTTGCGGCCGATGGTCACCGAGCGCTTCTTCATGAGGTATTCGAACTCGCGGCCCTCCAGCCGGGCCACTGCCGCCGCCGCCGCCGCCGCCGCCCCCGCCGCCATCTTGGCCGAGACAGGGCGCGGGAACGAGCGCGCGGCCGTGCGCGTGCCCCCTCCACTCACTCACACAGCGCCCGGCCACAGACACCGACAGCCGCCACAGCAGCAGCAGCAGCAGCAGCAGCGCCACAGTACAACCCACGCTCACGCAGCGCTCTTCCTCCTAGACGGGCGGCTGGCTCAGCCAACGAGAGCGCTGCACGCCCGTGGAGCCGCTCGGAGTTGACCAATGGGAAGCGGCGCCGGGGCGTGCAGCGCCAGGCAGCAAGGTAGGTTGTTCCCCTCCCCAAGAGGCAAAAAGGGGCAGCGGCGGCGACAGCAAAAATGCGGACTGGAGTTTTGAAACCATGTGGAGCGGAATGAGCTTGCTGTTCCCAGCCAGGACTAAACGCAACTTCTTGTTGCCGGATGTGGTGGTGTTGTGTGCCTCCCAGTCGTTTTTGACTTATGGTTACGCCCTAAAGCGTACTTATTGTTAGGTTTTCTTGATAAGTTTCTTCAGAGAGGGGTTTGCCCTTAACCATCTGAGGCTGAGAGAGTGTGACTTGCCCAAGATCACCCACTATGTTCAAGAGGGGATTTGAACCCCGGTCTCCAGAGTTGTAATCCAGCATTCAAACCACTACACCACGCTGGATGTGGTCTCCAGAAAGAGTGAAAAATACAGGAGTCCATGAAGAGAGCTCCTCTATGGCAAGGACAGGCAGACACAGAGACTGCATCCCCACTGCAGAAATGATCCGGTTTGACGCCACAGCTTTATCTTTTGGGCCTTTACAGACTGCCAGAAATAATGCAGCTTGAGACCACTTTAACTGTCCTGGCTCAGTGCTAGGGAATCATGGGAATTGTATTTTTTTCTGAGACATTGAGCTTTCTCTGTTAGAGAGCTCTGGTGCCACAAAAAAACTACAGTTCCCATGATTCCCTAGCACTGAGCCAGGGCAGTTAAAGTGAACTCAAGCTGCATTATGTCTGGCAGTCTGTAAAGGCCCTTATATCTGTTATTTATTTCGAAATGTTCATTTGTTGAACACTTCTCTATACCATTTTCCAGGTATAACCTGGCTCAGTGCTATGGAATTCTGGGAACTGTAGTTTTGTGAGACATTTAGCCTTCTCTGTCTCTAGTACCACAGCAAACTTCAAATCCAGGAATTCCATAGCACTGAGCCAGGCCAGTTAAAGTGGTGTCACTCCAGATTATTTCTGCAGTGCGGATGCGGATGCAGCCACAGTTACACCCACATGGCCGGCCGGGGTGACAGATCCTAAAGTCTGCATGAGTAAGGAGGGGGAGAGGCAACAACTCTCTCTCTTTGCTCTTTATGCTCTGGCATCATCATTGCAAAGGAGGACAAGGCACCACAAAGTGGAGGACACGACCAGTTAAAAACTAAAAACACCCCTATAAAGATACATTGCTTTGATTTTGAGTTCCTGTATGACAGGGGGTTGGACTGGATAGCCTTTGTGGTCCCTTCCAACTCTATAAATCTGTGAAATTCGTGCTTCTTAGTCAAATGCTCAGAATGGAAGGACATTTTGGGATTCCTCCTAGTCAGAAGAAGGCTGACATGTAGGACATGTCCTGGAAAAGGAGGACACCTGGTCACCCTGGCCCCCAACTGACCCACTTCGACAGGTTTGTTATATAAGTCAGGAGGAGAGGAACCATGCAGCCACCTGAGTTCATTGGCAGAAGGTGAAGTACAGTATCAGTGCAACTATTGAGAGCAGTTGTATTGTGTGCCTTCAAGTCCTTTCTGCATTATGGCAACCCTGTCATGGGATTTCCTTGGTAAGATTTCTTCAGAGAAGGTTTGCCATTGCCTAGAGAACTACATTAATACAGTATGTACATGCCCTGCCATGCCCTGCCCTGCCCTGCCCTGCCCTCAGCACAGACTGTTTAATGTTACAATAGTGGAAAGGGGTATTATTCTGCCCAGGGGAAAAAACCAATTAACACTCTCAGATCTATCTTTGTTCTGTTTGTTTATAGAGCGAAGCAGAAGAAATAATTAAGGATTCTTTGGATTAATTCTACAAAGATTACTACAATATTGCCACTCTGTACTGTAGCTCTGTAGCAGAATACAGTATATACCTTGCACACAAAAAGGTTTCATGTGCAAACATGTTGATTTGGTCTAAAAAATATAACTTCCTGAAAGACAACCGTTGCGGTGATTTATATATTTCGAGTGCCATCTGGCAAACAGAAAGTACTGAAAAACAGAATCCAGTATCTTATATCTGTTATTTATTTCAAAATGTTCATTAGTTGAACACTTCTGTATACCACTTTCCACATATAACCAGAGTCCCAGTGTGTTTTAAAGAAAAATCAAGCATCAGTTTTAAATTCAGTCAGTAGCAAGAAAGGGTAGTTGACATTTGTGATGCAATTCTATGCATGATTATTCAGAAATTAGTCCTATTACATTCTGTCTGCTCGTAAGTACATCTGCATAGAAATATGATTTCCGTGTATTAAAATGCATATTGCAGATGAACTGCAGGTACAACTTTTTCAAAACAAGTGGAGTGTGTTTCTTACATCCGTTCCCAATCAGTAACCTGGTTTCTGAACATGCAGCATATCTAAACATTTATTACTATATCTGTGGATGCTGAATTTTAATTTTTAAAACAAATTTAAACATTTTATTTTTAAAAAAAATTGGTAATATGCTAAATAATAACACCCAAGTGTACAGATTTCAGCAGTTGTGTTGCTCTGCTCAGCCTTATAAAACTTGAGTTTTATAGTTCTACATGTACATGAACAGACTGGAACATTAAGAGGTTTCAAAACTGACTGGGTCTGTTGATGGTGTCTTGGTGGTACATGGTGGACACAATCCCATCAATTTGTGAGTTTAGCTCACAATATAAAATATATTTCCTAAAATGCATATGTCACACATGCAAAATATACAATCATTAAGATATCCTAACATGTAAATATCTCTCCTACTCATTCAGTGCCATACTTTCATTGTCGCGGAAGTGAATGAACTCAATTTTCTGATAGCAGCTTATGTACATAGGTAGGCTGGGTAAATAGAGTAGAAAAATTTATTACTAGACATTTGACCACTAAATGTCAAGCACTGTGGTGGTGGTGGTGATGGATTGTTATTATTATTACCTGCCTCTCCCTGTATTAGCATCTGTTTAAAACTAATAAAATATCTTTTGCATTTATTTAACTCCTAGAGCTTTTTTCCTATTAACAGAAGTCTAATTACATACATTACAATTCTTGCTTAAGGGAGGGATAACTTCTTTTTCAGTGTAATGAAAACATTTTAAATTGCCCTTATAGTTATGGGCGGGGTATGTGTGCCACTAAATGTTGGAAGAAGAATACCAAGGTTGAAATGCTGGTTCATTTTGTGCCTCAAACTGTTGCCTCATGCTCAGCTATGGGTGTTCGGGCAACAAAAACAACAACCTGGAATGGGAAGGTGCTTTGTACCACATGCCAGTGGCTTTTAGCATTCAACGTTATGCTTTTAAAAGAAGCAAAACCCAATAATTTTGCAGTTTCTTCCCCTTCCTCTCATATTCTTTCATACTTTGTTTTTCTCTCTAATCCCAGATATCTATTTTTTTTTTATTTTTCCTTCCACAATCATAGTTGCAAGAGACCTCAAGGGCCATCCATTCCATTTCCAGGGGGAAACCGATATTATTTGCACCAGTACAGCATGCTGAAGTATATGTAAAGAAAGGAAGGAAGGAAGGGGAAAAATATTATTTATATTTATATTTATAGTATTTGTTGTCGTTGTTTGCCTTCAATACATTTCCAACTTATGGCATCCCTAAGGCAAACGTATCATAGGGTTTCCTTGGCAAGATTTGTTCAGAAGAGGTTTGCCATTGCCTTGCCTGAGGCTGAGAGCATGTGACATGCCCAAGGTCACCCTGTGGGTTTCATGGCAGAGCAGAGAATCAAACCCTGGTCTCAGAGTCGTAGTCCGACACTCAGACCACTGCACCACGCTGGCTCTACTTTTATAATATACCTAGTAGTAATAGTAATATTGTACAGACAAAGACAAAAAGGTCTGGTCATTTTTATGTACTATGTTTTAATTTCTTGTAATAGCCATAGTTGAATAGCACTATTATGTGCAAGGGATTAGTTCCAGATGTATTATAACATGGAAATCTTTTTCAAATAAAGTTCCTGTATGTTGATAAGGGAGTTTAGATTATGGAGGGGGTGATAACAGAACATGGGCAGTTGCATTTCGCTAGGTGGAATTATTCATCCATCTAACCCAGTTATTGCCTTCTTGTATTGGCAGTGGCTTTCAGAGTCTTAGGCAAAGACTTTCCCATCTCCTGCTACCTGATCCTTTTAACTGGAGATGCCAAGGATTGAGTTCAGCTTTCCGCATGCAAAGTATGTGCTCTACCACTGGCTGAAAGTCCCTTCTCTATATTAAGACAGAATGCATGTGTGTTCACTTTGCCAGCTTTTATGTAAAAATTCTAGGATTGACTTTTTTTAAAAAAAAAAAATTCACAGGTTTTTAAACGTTAAAATATATTACAGGTAATGATATTTTTGGCAACAGTTCTGTATTAAGGAACTGGTTTCACAGCTCTGAAGGCTGAACACATTCCAGTCCAGTAGCCTAAAAAAAAAATACAAATCCTTGCCTGTTATTGCATCCAACACAAATGTCTGCAGTTGGTTTACAAACCATGCTACCCAGAATGCTCCCGGGCGTCAAGCTGCTTATGGAGGCTGCAACGTGCAGAGCAATAATCTCCGATTAAATGTTCTGTCTGTGGTGCACTGAACAACACACAAGGCAAAATGACCCTGGTGTTAGGGGAGGCACCACCACCAGGAGGTGGTTTCTTGATCTGTCTGCTCTTTAGCCCCCAGCCTCCTCTTGGGAGGAAGCATGCACAAGCCTCCATGCTGCAGCAAGACATGTGCTTTCTGGATGACATCATCCCCCTTGGTGCCTGGGCAATGACCTAGGCAGAGAGAGAGAGAAAGAGAGAGAGAGTGTGTATGTGTATACGTATATGTGTGTGTGTGTGTGCTTGTGTGTTTGTAAATACTGTACAGAAGAGATCCATGGGGACAGGGCAGGTTAAAGAACCCAGTCTCAACTTGACGCCTTTGGTAATATAAAAACCATGGCTGGAATTGCTTTGTGCCTTATGCACAACCGTCTGCTCAACCGTCCAAACATCAATTACATAAAGTAAAATAGGCGTGTGCCTTTTGTTGATAGTCTAGATTTAGAAGTGTTTCAGAGGCAATGTTGATTGCCCCGTTGCTTTGCCTCGTTCATTTAATTTTACAGGGGCTTTAAGCAACGCCTTCCTCCACTCACAACTCTCCCTTCTTTTTTCCCCACTATTCCTTACATTTTTTCCCTGTAGCTGCAAAGGAAAAAAACAACACTAGCATAGTGATGCTAACTTTTAAGTGCAATATGAGAAACTGACTTGACTCTTAAGATATATGTAAAGAATAGCCACAGATAAAAAGAAATGTCATTTATGTTTGGGTTATTATAACACATACACATACTGCCTGGAGCAAAAAGGAAGTTCCATCAATTCCATATCATAGGAGGCTCTTTCAAAAGTTAAATTAGGCTGTTTTTGAGTTAGCAACAGATTCAAAAGCAAGGAATGATGACGATGTGTGTATACACACGAGTGTGTACATAGTGTGCATACAGCCTTTAAAGATTAAGTCAGATTGCAAACTCCCCCCCCCCAAAACAGTATCTATGCATGTATATACATATACCCCAATCATAGAGAGAGAATTCCAGAGGTACAAGCAGGGTTCAGGAAAGGAAGAGGCACTAGGGCCCACATAGCAAACATGATGGCTAATGAAGTCATGCCAGATGAAGGAAATGCTGTGGATGTAGCATATCTTGATTTCAGTAAGGCCTTCAACAAGGTCCCCCACAATATGCTTAAAAACAAGCTAGCAACATGTGGGCTAGACAATGCAACTGTTAAATGGATTTGTAATTGGTTAACTGACCAAACCCAAAGGGTGCTCAGCAATGGCTTCTCTTCATCCTGGAGAGAAGTGAGCAGTGGGGTGCCATAGGGTTCTGTCCTGGGCCCAGTACTATTCAACATCTTCATAAATTATTGTGATGAAGGAATAGAGGGCATGCTTATCATATTTGCATATTAAGAGGAGTACCTAATACCCAGAGGACAGGATCAAAATTCAAAATGGCCTTAATAGTTTAAAAGCTGGGCCAAAACTAACAACATGAATTTCAACAGGTAGAAATTCAAGGTACTACACTTAGGGTAAAAAAATGAAATTCACAGATACAGGATAGAAAGGACACTTGGCTCAACAAGACTACTTGTGAAAGGGATCTAGGGAGTCCTAGTAGACCACATGTTGAACATGAGTCAACAGTGTGATGCAGCACCTCGAAAAGCCAATGTGATTCTAGGCTGCATCAGTACAATTATAGTGTCTAGATCAAGGGAGGTAATGGTGCCACTCTATTCTGCTTTGGTCAGGCCTCAGGAATACTATGTCCAATTTTGGGCACCACAAATCAAAAAGGGTGTTGAAAAGGTGGAGTGTGTCCAGAGGAGGGCTACCAAAATGGTGAAAGGTCTGGAAACCATGGTCTATGAGGAATGACTTAAGGGACTTTCTGCCAGGAAGAAGGAGAAGGAGAAGGAGGTTTTCCAAGTCAGTCGCTGCCAGGAAGGGAGAAGGAAAGCAGTTTCTGAGCAGCCATATTGAGTGGGTGAGTGTCTAAATTCTTTTTTAAAACACTTGGGGAGAGTGTGACCATTGCTGAGCGGGTGAGGCTTTGGTGAGTCACATTTGTGAGTCAATAGGGGGTGGAGCTAGCCAATCAGCTCTATACAACTCCTCCCAGAGGCTTCCAGGTCAGTTTCTGCCAGGAAGGAGAGGAGAAGGAGGCTTTCCAGGTCAGTCACTGCAAGGAAGGGAGAAGGAAAGCAGTTTCTGAGCAGCCATATTGAATGGGTGAGTGTTTAAATTTAATTTTTTCATAGGACAAGGAAAAGCACAGTACAAGTAGAAGGGAGGCTTTGACCTTTCTTTTTAGAGGTTCTCCTTATTATTATTATTATTA